AGCAACTGTACTTGGTAGAGGCAACATATGGTGATGAGCGTAACTGAGGTAACCTGGGTATCTGCTGCCTGTTTCAGATTTAGATTGTTGGCTAGTCTCAAACATCCTCAAGAAAAAAAAAGATTTGTAGTACTGTGGCGAATACTGTGTACCTAACTGATCATTGGTTCTCATAGTTCATCAGTTACTTAGTTTCCAGAAGCTCTGTTCTCTAAAAGGTGAACTTTCAGACTTCTACACTCTGGAAAGCTTTTCTGAAAAACTCCTTCTTTTGGTGCAAAAAAAAAAAAAGCTCTGGTAGTGTGGAAGACCAACAATATGCACTATTATGTGTAGTATTTCTTGAAGTCTGAGGACAACAGCTTCAGCTGCAAATGTAACTGTGGCATTTGACAAATGAGTTTCTGTCCCAGCTTTCCTTCTGCCAAACACTCATCCTCCGTCAGACAATTTATTTTACAGCCACACAGGTTTGTGGTTTTCATTATTTTTATGCAATGCATTTTAATTTTTTAGGAAACATTTGCTTTTCTCTCCACCTACTCTGGATCTTTCTTGTTGAATCTGACTCCTTTGCTTCCCTCCCTGCTCATCAGATTGTAGTAATCAGCCTTCCAGCAGGGAGGACGGTTGCAGAGCCAGAGTGGTTCAGATACAGTATGTTAATGCACTTGGAGATAAATTTTGTGTGTTTTCTTGTGTCATTATAAATTCTTAGCTCAGCTGCTGCTTCTTTGGTTTGTGTGACAAACTATTCTAAACCTATGGTTCACTGAGAAGCCTTTTTCATTATATGTCCTGGTCTACTTCAGCAAATAGAAAATGCTCGGTGGAAACAGATGATCATAAACGGCTTTTCTTTTTTTGTAAGGAAAACTTGATATGCTGGGCTTTTTACTTGTAACAGTAACCAGCACTCTGGTATTACCAGAGAATTTCTTCTGAAGAAATATTTCTTATACAATCTGTTCACAGTGCGACCACAGAGACACTATTGTGAGAAAGACGCATTAATGGTGAATGATGTAAGTGTAATGTTCTGTGAGGACAAAAAACAAAAATCCATTCAGATCTAGAAATGTAAGAAAAGTAGACAAATCAAACCAAAACTATCTGTGTAGCTGCAGCAGATAATGTATTGGATGAAGCAGCTTTTCAATACACAGTTAGATGTATAAATGTGCACATTGCAAAGTTTTAGTTCTATAGAGCTTATACAGTTCACTCTGAGCACCAATAACTACTCTGTTGAAAAGCGATTCACCCTAAAATTGCTGACTCAGATGTAATGGTAAGTTTCACTTCTATTATCTTTGCAGTCAAGACTGTTACGCACTTTAATCCTTAATCAGCTTCAATCACATCTACTAAATCAGTTTGCTACCTAGTGTTTGTCTGTTTGTGCTCCAGGAGCTGGCCTGTAACCATCATGCCACCGTATTAAATTGTGTGCTTTTGTACACCAAAACCCCTGTGGCACAGAGACGTGACCCACAGAATGAGTGAATGAAGTAATGAGAGATTTAATGCACAAAAGAGGACTAGAGCCATTACAGCACTTAGCCTCCAATTGCCCACCTTTGTCTGCAAGGGAAACCTGTAAGCTGGGATTTAGTTGGCTGAGGAGGGAGGTGAACGAGAAGCATGGGAAAGGAAGAAGAACGTGGAGTGTTAGCTTGTTCAAGCAAAGGTTGTCGATGGTCATTTGTATACGCCCCCTGCATCATTTTTAAACCACTTTAACAATGTTAATGGGTTGGTGACTCCAGGCTGAAGACGCCCACTCAGCAGTAGATGGTCCTAGCATGCTAACATGTTTAAATAAAATGGTGAACGTAATAAAGGTTCTACCTGCTAAACATCAAACTGTGCCTGCGTACAGCCTCAATGGGTGGGTTGTTGCAGACATGTTGAATCAGGTGCGAGATGTGAAATACAATCCAGCGAGTCCAGCTTTATCTGCAGTGATTTGATCTTTTGTCGTGAGCGTCTTCAGGTAAACAACAGAGATATGGCATCTAATTATAAAGTAATCTGCACAAATGTGTGTTTACACATATTTGATTCAACTCCACTATAAGCACCTACTTAAGACCCTGTGGACCACAAGCCGGTTACTTGTGAACGGCTTGGCCTCTTATTTTGTCTTCTGTCTGACCAATTTTTCACATTTTTTTACTTGAATCTCATTTAATCTTGAATGCGTTTTGTACAGATGTCAAACAGTAATTTGGAGAAAGATTTAGCAAGGAAGTTGCATCACAACTGCTGTGTGCATTTCAGAAACACTTATTACAAACTGTGTTGCTCTTTAGCTTTTTGCACACACATGCTCATAGTTCCACTACATATGGTGTGCATTTGAGTGAAACACCCACAGTGGACAGGGTGACCTTAAGCCCACTCTCCAGCGAGTCCTGTTCCCTCTTCCCACCAGCTGAGTGCTAATTTGTCACCCTCAGATTTTCTGTCATCACACAGCGCTGCAGGGCAATTAGACCACCACAGTTTGCTGCAGAGCAACACAACCGACCACCTGTAGGTTCGCAAACCCAACAGGGGCCACACAGCCCTTAAAACCACATTTCTTGTGAGTAGTTTCCTCAGAAATGTTCTTGTTTACATGCTTGAAGAGGCAGTAGTTCAGGCTTTTACTGTCACACAACAAGAAATGACCACAATATACAATGGGTTCATAGGGATCGTCATGACTGAAGCATTAAAGTTTAATGATCTTTCTGCCTCCCAAATTTCTCGCTATGTGATCCATGGGACACAGTAGAGGAAATCCACAGCTTTCCCATGTTGCTTTCCCTCAAACACGCCCCCGAGTGGTGAAACATATTTAGCCTTCATTCGGGCTCTGACTAAAGAAAGGCCAACCAGCCAGGCTTTGCTCTCACCGGTGCCTGAAAGACAGATCAATACTCGAAGTTTTTTCTCTGCTGGACAATCCATAATTCATACACTCTCAGGTGGTCCTGTATTTACTATCGATCAGATGGAGGTAACAACAGCAATATGGACAGGCCGGAGGGAGCTGTCTTCACATTTAGAAAGCAGAGAGCCTGATTTAAAAGCAGAAATGAGATGCCTCTGTGCATTTTACTGCCACAATGATGCACATGCTTTCTCTGCTGTGAAAGAAAAAACAACGGAGAAGGTTGTCTTGAATGAAAATTAAATTTTTGCCTTTTTCAAACTTCCTATAATTCTACCAATGGTGATACAAGAAAATGATCTGTAATTGGGTGACAGCTTGATTATTTTCATTATCAGTTGACATGTCAGTCATTTTTAGATTAATCAGATATTCTAGAGATGCTGTTGAACTGTGAAAAAAGCCTTTCAGAGTTTCTGTAGTCCGAGCTGATGTCTTCACATCATCTGTTTGTCAAACCAACAGTTTATAACCCAAAGAAATTCATTTTACAGTGACGTAAACCAAGGAAAGAACCTGAAGCTCAGACCTGAGGATGTTTATCTTGACGATTTGAACTTCCTTTAAAATAATAGAAGTGCTAATTATTAAAATTTCAATTTCCTGTCAATCAGCTAGTCAGTTATTTGGCTTCTCGTACTGTCTGTCTGGTGGTTCAGTACATCCGCCATGTGCTGTGACCTGAAAGTCTGAATGTGTACGCTCTTTATTCTGTGGAAGAACAGCACCCTCTTCATGTCATGTGCCAGAAACAGATGTATATATTAAAACGCAACACATACCAACTTATCTATGGTTAATAATTCAGGTATGGTTCAAAGTGAGTGTATTACCCGAACGTGTACAGCTCGGGCTGACAGATGGATAGCACTGGGTACAAGCCTGTCTTCCTCTGTCTCACTGGTTCTTTGAAGCTTTTTCAGTTGGCTTCTTCTTTCTTGTTTTCCAAGATGCCTCGAGGATCCTCAGAGAACCCCGTCACCACATAATCCTCAGAAGTGCTAACAAAGTGTTTGCACAGTAGAATACAGTCATGGTTGTCAGTGTACATGTGATCTGTTGTTGAGTGTTTTTATTTGTATAGCCCAAGTGAATTCAATTGCATTTGATGTAACAGCAGTGGCAAATTCTTCACAGAAGAAATGTTTTCCCTTTTTTCACATAACCAAATCTGACTGGGAAGTGAAGCAAATGTTTGTTCTCTTCAAGTAGCTACAACTGCTTAAGTGCCTTTTCCCTCCAGCTGCTCCAGACTCTTATCATAAGTTACCCTGCAATTTCTTCCTGAGTGTAGCTGGCGAACAAACAGCAATGCTAATGCATCAACAGCCCTGTGCAAGGCTGCATTGTTTTATAATTTCACTTTATTTATAACTTAGGGACTTATTCTCTAGATGTACACTAGAATAGCAAAGTGAAGGCATGACCACCTGGGGTGCTTTTAGATGTACAGTATTATGACGGCTGGATACCGGATTACAAGATGGCTCCCATTCTTCCCATTTGTTTGCCTGGTGCAAACATCTTTTTTCCCCCAGGTTTGCTTCTGTGCTGTGGGGCCCACTGTTCATGAGCATTAATGTTTTCTCTGCTGCCCCCACCCACACACTCCTGTTTGACCCATAGACTTTACATTGTGAGGACGTCACGGAAATAAAACTCAGTTTTCTCTGCTCGGGTTATGTTTTAGAAAAATAAAGCCTCCATGGATTGGAATAACACAAAGAGTGATAACTGATCTTGGCTGCAGTATGAGGTGTCCTGTCAACAGTTTTGCAGGTGTCTCTCTTATTATTGTGGTCTATAGAGAAAATGTTTTTTGGGCCTTGAGGGATTTTTTTGTTGCAGTGCTGCAACTGGTCACTGATTAAAAAGTTGGCAGCAGCATATCCAGCTCACATAATACATGTATGTGTGTATTTAAGACTCCACCAATGTTTTTAGACTCAAGTTGGCTGCAGCTCACATTGGAACATTACTGTCATGACACACAAGTACACAATATATGTCTCTGGAAGGCAGCCCATGTTCCTCCAACATCTGTGTCTCTTATGTCCAGGGGCCACCAAAGACATGGGTAAGATGCTGGGTGGAGAGGAGGAGAAGGACCCGGATGCAGCCAAGAAGGAAGAGGAACGGCAGGAGGCGTTAAAGCAGCAGGAAGAGGAGAGGAAGGCCAAACACGCCCGCATGGAGGCAGAGAGGGAGAAAGTACGGCAGTCCATCAGGGACAAAGTAAGAAAACACTCACCTGGTTTGACCAGTATTCTGAAACACATTTACCAGTTATCACTGTTTTGTGTGATTTTGTGCTCAGGACTGCAGCGAAATAACACATTCCTAAAGGTTTGACACCATTTCATTTATCAACACTTGGTGGTAGTGACATGCTAGGAAACATAGTAATGTGACAGGTAAAGGAAAAGACAGCTTCAAGCTAGGAAACAGCAACATAAACCATGCAGGATTTGAAATGTATTTTATGAGACAAACACTTGACTCCACCGATCACCTGTAACCTCGATCACTCACTTCTCATCCACCTTAATTTTTCTCTCTTTATCCAGTACGGGTTGAAGAAGAAGGAGGAGAAAGAGGCGGAGGAGAAAGCGGCCATGGAGCAGGCCTGCGAGGGGTCACTGACACGTCCGAAAAAGGCGATCCCGAGGGGCTGTGGAGATGACGAGGATGACGATGAAGAGAGCATACTTGACACTGTTCTCAAGTTTTTGCCTGGACCTTTACAGGACATGTTTAAGAAGTAAAAAATTAACAAATCAAAAGAACCCTAAATTCAAGGGCCAGTCTGGCCTGGGCTAGGCTGTGGGGCAAAGGGAAGAGGGGAGACTGGGGACGTGAACTGGTTGGGGTTTTTGTAAGCGGGCAGGGTTTGAGTGTAGATCTAGGGCATGCCGAAGTCGTTGGGGGCAAAATGGAGTAGGGAGTGGGGCTCCTGCAAAACAGTTAGAGGCTGCACACTGCCTTTCTAGAAATCTTTTACTTTGTCCTTTTCTACTCCTCGACGATCATGTCGTTCTTCCAACTTTTATTTGCCACAGTTGCTGTACAACCTTCCAACTGCCACTTAGCACATTTCTTACAATTAGCATGTGTTTTTACCTTTTCCTGTTGTTGTTTATACACTGATTAAGGCTTTTTGATTGGTAGACCAATGGAGAACAGTATTCACTTAAAGAAGGGCAGTGTGGTTTTTCAAATGGCACTGCCACCATGTTTCCCAGTAGATGGAGCATATTTGTTTTTTTTCACTGGGTCTTTTCTACTTTTATGAACCTGGTCTTTCTATTTTATGTTCTTAGGACTTGTGCCTTCATATCATCTCCTCTTGCGGAGGAATTGTAAATGAGGGTGTCATTTAGAGTCCAGCAGGTGTACAGTTGTAGGTAGCATGAAGGGATGCATTCAAGGATACAACATCGGACACTTTTGGAATAATGGATTTGACATAAGGTTGGCTAGCTGGCGTGTTTGGGGGTTTGTAAAAGTTCAGATCACATACTTCTGGAAATTCTAGACAAAGTTTGGAAGGAGCAGTCCACAGAACTACTAAAATCATAGTTCACTGTTACTTAAAAGGCTCTGAGCTTCTGCAGAATAACAAGGTCGATTTCCCTCCTACTTCCACCGCCAGTTTTGTAAAACCCAGACGTTCTGAGCCTCTTCGCTGTTAGTGCCATTATGTTAGAAAAGTAAAACTTAAGATCTTAAATGTGTCAAGAACTCGTGTCAGTATGTACATTTTAAGTGGATTTTACTTTTCTTGATTCATGTAAGCAAATGACTCTTTACTTTGTTCAAATCCCATTTTCAAAAACAAATCATTTGTCTGAAATGTTCAGATTTACACAAAGTAAAAGTCAAACCAAATCATCATGATATTAGCTAGTGTGGTCCCCATAGACAATCAAAGCACTGACCAAAACATTTCTTTTTTTATTTTTGCGAATATGCTTCCAGTTTATTTTAATGTAGCAGCAATTGTGATTTGATCTTTCCCATCATCTTAGTTTATCTTGACCGAGGCTCATTGACACTGAGACCAAAGAAATAACTGCTGAGACCTTACTATTCCTTTTGTCACCGTCTAAGCCACGCTTGATTTTTATCATACAAGTGAGGCCTGTGGGAGAAACTCAGCAGCCTGTTCCCCGTGTGCTAAACTACAGTGATACTCTCCTATTTCCACATAGGTATTCCACAGTTAAATAGGACTGGATAATTGAACTGTGGACTGAGTGTGAGAAAAGTGACCTGTGAGTTGTAGCATTTCACTGCTTGAAGAGCTCACAGAGCTGAGTATATTGTGCATCCTGCATCTCTTAATCCTACAAAATATCATAGTGATTTGTCATATAGCATTTACATAGATGTACTGTAAAAGAAAACAATCTCTATTTAGTGAAACTACCTTAATATATGGGCATAGCATGTTGGTTTTTCCTAAATGATCCGGTGGCTATTCAGTGGTTAGTTATGGGATGATGTATGATAAATACATTGTCCCATGAGTTTTCAACTTAGAGTAACTGTAAGGATTAAAAAAATCTAATGATGAAGTTGTCATAAGCACTATGAAAACAGTTTCATTATCTAGCTCAGATAGGACTTTCACTAGACAAAGCCATATTGTTTAGATCGCAATAATGACTGAAAATCATAAAAAAGAATATTTCAGCATTCAATGTTAATGTTTCATGTTTGTTTTCTGTAAAAAAAAAAAGATATCTGTGTTTATAACTCACTGTTATTGCATTTTCAAAGATGTATACTAATGTATACGCAATGTATGTAAAAAAGAGAAGCCACCGTTCTAACTGTCTCAGTGTACTACATGTGTACTGTACTGTAAGCGTGTGTGTTTATATGTGTGTGTCTTTCTACAGGTCTGTGCTGTGAGACCATGTCGTTGATTCATGTAGTCCTGGTTTCTATGACTTAAAAGTGTCTTTCAACTATTTTGTGCACAGGCAGAAGCTAGGACGCATGTCTAAAAAAAATACTTAACACATTCCTCTGAGGTTATGAGCAATTGAGCATGCAAATGTTTGGTAGAGAGTAAAATACACTAAAAGACAAAACCAGATTATTTTCTGTTTCTGTAGGAATCTCCAGGTAACAGAATCTGTGCTTTGGGTCCAGAAAGATCAGTTGTGCGATGGGCTTGTTGAGTATTATCTGAGTGATTTAAGGCCGTGCTCACCAGCTTGGTTATACAGCTCAGACACAAAAATCATCCGTGGGCATTGCTGTGTCTCAGAACTTTTAGCAGTGAGCATATACAGGTTCACACTAGAAATCTAACAAAACGAGTGTCAGAATGATTGTACTTGTTTTTTTAAGTGTGGTGTTGATGGAGACTATTTTCCCACAATGCAAAGCTTGGTCCCCTAAAGGAAACACCTGCCAGCAGTTATAAAAACTATATAACCAGTTGATCAATTTGACTTCACTTGAGTTGCTAAAGCAGGTTGCTTCCAACAGTTCGATCTCTGACGTCTCAGTCCAGCACCGTACTGGTCAGTTAACATGAGACATATGCTTGTTAACCGGTATGTTCAACAGGTTTTCATGACCATTGATTTCAGTCTGTACAAACTGTGAAAAACCACAAATGTCTTACAAAAGGCAGCAGCTGGATCTTTCATAGCAATGTTACAAATTTGTAGTATTGTTGCTGACCATGCAGTAACAGCAGTAGTCCATCAGAGTCAACACTGACAACACTGTTGGACTTTGACAGTTCTCACAGTTCATAATTCAGCTGTGTACAAATAGGTTTCAGTTTGCAGTTAAAATGTGAGCCGTTACACAGTAGGTGTAAACAGCTGATGTGGAACAAGACATTAGTGTTATCCAAGCTAAATCACTGGTGCGTCTTGACAAACACTGATGTGTCAGGATAAACTTCTGCCCAAGCAGCTTATGCTTTTTAACTCTGCGCTTTAAAATGCATCATCTATGGCCCCCATACATTGACTTCTTATGTCTGTAGGCAAGTGAAGAGTTGCTAGAGGCCTCACATACAGCAACGCAACAGTATGTCTTGCACTTAAGTGCTTCTTCATTGAATTGCCAGGCATGTGAGTTCAAACTGTTTGGCTGCAGGAAAGTGCTTAGACACAGATCTTATACCCACTGTGCTAAAAACCATCCTTAGTGATCACGGCCTGAAGACATCAACTCTGAAGTGACAGGAAGGCTTGATAGGCTTTTCAAAAGGAAAATTAATGTGCAATGGGAAAAAGAAAAAATAGTGAAACTAAAATATGTGCTTTTTTGATAATGTACTGTAGGTGTAGTACTAAAAACATTTGTCCATTTAGATTTTAATGTACAGTAGAATACATCATACATTTATTTAAAAGACCAACCTGCAGAGAGACTCTTTTTAATGCAGTCCCATTGCTCATCATCATAAACTAACCACCCATGATGGAGTAATACATTGGCATCAGAGGATGAAATAGTTACAGTGCAGATGCTTAGACTGTGTTGAGTGTCTTATGCTTTGTCTGAGGAGAATCACTTTAATTTATTTTATTTATTACATGAACATTGGGAATTTTGAGTAAGCTTATTCAGGCATGGTATCCCCCTGTGTGGCTAGAAGAATGGGGGATATACAGTCCTGGACTAGACTTAATTCATGGGCCCTTCATGGAAACTACAGCCATACATCCTCTGTATGTAAACCAGTCTCTCAGCGGGACTCGTCTTGAGACGTCACAGCTCATGAACTGACTTTGAAAAGGGCTATGTCATTTGTATGTAAGGCTAGTACTCATCTGTCTCAACTGTGCAAGACGTGCTGTTGTTTTAATTCATTCTGGTTTCATGAAATACTTCAGGGTGGACCACTGTGTTTGTGGAGTGACATATAGCTTAAAAAGCTGCTGTAGCATGTTGATTTGATAGACAATAGTGTAAAAGCAAGAAGTTGTTTCTTTAAATATGGGGCCCAGATAATTTTACATGAATATATAAACTGTATATCTTCTACATAGAAGTAGATGTGGGTAAAGGAGGGATTTTGAAATGAAAGGCCTCAAAGCCATTAAGCTGCTGCAGCAAACTTCGGCTGGTGTTCCTGTGAAACATCTTAACTCAGAGGCTGCCATTGTACGGATGGTTTTAGGGGAGACTCAGGTTGAAGAGACTGAAACTGAAAAACTGGATTATCAAAGCATCTTCTATTGTCAGAGCCCAGAAACATTTAAAATCAGAGTTCATCCTCCCTAAAAAGCTAAGATTCTCCATTAAGTTTGGTGATATTTGTCATGACTGTTGTACTACATGAACACAAAAATTTGTACAGGCAATGAGCTAAAGACATCATAGATGTTTACCTCTCAAATATAACTTCATGTGATGCAATGAGCGATTGAGATAGAATATTTCAGATTTAAAACTTCCCTTTAAACTTGCTCGTTCATCCACGTGCGGCCAGACATCTCTTTTGTAATCGTAGTGCTGATGCCAGAACTTTTTCATAACATTTCTTGCACACTTATGAATATTGTAGCTGCCTAGCTCAATCATGCCAGGATAGCAAGAAATAGAAGTTAACATGTCTTGGTGAAGGGTGGGGTGGTGGTGGTGGTGCAGTGGTTAGAGCTGTGGCCTTGTGATACACTGGTGACCTAGCCAGGGTGAACCCCCCTCCCACAGTGTCAGCTGGGATGGGCTCCAGTTCCCCACGATCCTCTTCAAGATGAGTGGGATAGATAATGGATTTCTTGGTGAATGTTTTACCAATACACCACACAATCTCCTGGGCACATTTACTTTCCCTCTAGTGGAAGTGAAGATTTTGGTGAGCTCTCCTTAGCTGTGAGCAAAACTGTTTCTGCAAAGGCAAAATCTTTGAATACATTCCGGTGTTTTTGCATTTGCACTACAACACGATGAAATGTTACACTGACAATATTATGGCATCTAAAGACTCATCGCTATCAACTATCTTGTTTTGTTCCTGTCCGCCCGCCCTCTGAAAGATAAAGTTGGAAGGAATTAGGGATAACACATTTAGCCACGGCTGTCAGGGGTCCCTTTAGTCATCCTGTTGCTGCACTAACTCTATTCGCTTCCTGGAGACCACATGTGGAAATGACATGCACTGTGGTAGACAGTGGAAACTGGTGGCCACAACATTGTATAGGATTTGGGTGAAAAAGTTTCCAAAAAATGTATACAAAAGGGAGAAAGGGAACAGATTTTAAGTTGTTCTAACTGAATCAAGAGGATATTTCTTTTTATTTCAGAGTGAAAATAATTTCAGGTTGCAGAGGTCAAGAATGTAAGCTCTATGCGATTTTTTTTTTTGTTTACTTGCATGTCAAATACTCTATGTGGAGCCCACTCACTGTAAAACTGTCTCATCAACAGAACTGAACTGAACTTCTTTTGAAAATTAAATGCATAGTACAAATAAAAGAGGTTAATTAAAAATCTACCTGTGTTTTTATTCTCTGGTTTGCTTACCTGTAGTTCAGCTTGTTATTTTACGACACCATTTTACTTCAATTCAGTGCTCTTTTAGGTTTTTACATATTTAAGCTAGCCTACATAATTTCCACTTCCCCTAAAGCATATACTACTTAATAATACAAATTACAAGATAATCTCATAAGTTAAAAAACACAACATAAATTCTCATAACGTGATGCCAATAATTAAGAAGTGAATAAGTTATGGGCTTCCAGTGTTTGAGCAGTGGCAAACCGGAGAGACTTCCAGGTCAAGTGAGGATTGAAGGAAGATCAAGTAAAGGACTTGGCTTTACCTATTAACTGTAGGAGATCTGAAAGTGAAAGACTAAAGGACAGGGTGATGGGTATGGGAAGGAAGTGGCGCATGAAGCACCCGTTGGAGCTAGGAGACAAGTAATCACAGGTACAAGGGGCTACTAACAAAACTCAGCTCTCAAAAAAACAGAAAGAAGTTATGAAAATTAAAGTAATTTTACTTAAAATAAGATAACGAACAGGAACATTTCATTAACAGGTTAAAATTTTCAGGATTGTTAACCCTTTAGCAGTCACCAGACTAGCCAAAGTTAAAAGGCTTCTCCTCCTTCATATGAGCTCTGAGTTTACAGCCCACCGCCGCTTGCTGTCACCGCGACATTCAGCCCTGTCTCAGAATTACCGGCAGCCATTTGCTCTTTTATAGGCTTGTTAATCCTGAATGAAAGACTCGCTGACACATTAGTGTGTGTGGGTTGTGTAATTTCCAGAGACCAGCAGACTGTTTTGACTGACAGGCAGCAGAGATGGGGGGGTTTGTATTTCTGTCTTCTGAGGAAAACTCAGCACAAGGCCTGTGCACGTGGAGGCAGAAAGGGAGATAATGCTCACAGTGTAAATGTCACAAACAAAGGTTGTGTAATAGTCTGTTTTTTTCTGAAACCAGGCATATACACTGTGGATCATGGAATAAGTATAATTATATTTCCACTGCTCCAAGTATTGGCCCCAAAAGTTCGGTATTGATAAGGCATATTCTATATTGTGCCTGACTAAGACACCACAGAGAAGGAAATTGTGTTTCATACAGGAATTGTTTATGTTCTGTGAGCCCAGTGTTTTACTTAATCTTACTGAAGATGTAATCTAGTTTCCATGGTAGTTCACTCAGCATCTCCATGGGCAGTGACCAGGAGCCTCTAGGTTTGACTTCAGAGTAGAAATAATGATGTACTTGAATAGAAAAGCTGAAGACAAAGACTGGTGTGCTAGCAGCCCCTAGAGGCTATTGTGCCAATTACACCCCACGGCTGAGGATGCTGTTGTTCTTGTAGGCTGAACATTTAGTCCTGTGGGTGGTGCTAGAGGCAAAGTTATGAACTCTTCTGAACTCAAAAGGTGTAATCTCTGAGGGCCTTAAATGTGCATGGAGCATCTGATGTCAAGGTTATGACCTACTGTATCATCTGGTGTCTTCAAGGCCGTTGCTGAGGGAAGGCTGACCACAATGCAGTTCTCTCTGGGACTTAAATGTCCACCCCACTAATGCAGATAGTTGAAACACACCTACATAATGTGTCCTATCAGAAGCAACAAAATGGCACTTGATTCTTTAGTCTCTAAAAAAATGAAATTATTGAGGTTTGAATTTCGGTGCCTGCAGTCCACATGTCGAAGTGTCTTTGGGCAAGACACTGAACCCTCCCCCATTGCACCCGATGGTTACAGCCATTGGTTGAGCTGGCGCCGCAGATGGCTGCCGCGGTTCTGTACTGGAAAAAAATTCCTTGTGTGTAACATACTTGGCCAATAAAGGTGGTTATCCTTATCCTTATAGCTACAGTATGTAATTTTTTTGTTGAAATATGCTAATTAAGAGCCTCAACATGAGCATCTCATGTATATTTTGAGTGCTCTCTCTTTACTTGTTTAGCCCACAGTCATCAAGGCTGTTTTGTAACAATGCCACAGTAGTACACTGACATGCATCAGTAGAAGGAATGTAATTGACATACTGAACAAAAATATCATCTTTCCCACTATGGACTTCGCTATATGACTATATTGTATTGCAAGATATTTTTCTACCTCCAGCTTAGCTTTAGGAAAATGTATACACCTTCATATGTAGGTTTGGTGGTTGTCTCCAATAGAGATGGTAACTATGTTCAGAGCCAAAGAATTAAAACCATGATTTCAGAGATTTTTCTTATGTTTGGTGATTTCAGTCTGATGCCGCTGCATTGGCTAAGCCAGGTTAGTTTGACTGAATGGTAACATTTACTGAGTCAACTGAGTTTCTTGGCTGTGTTTCATGTAGTTGCTGTACACTGCCACGTGTGAGTGGAAATAATTCTACATGATAGCGTGATCCTAAATACTAGTAACACTTAACTGTTAACTGGACACTTAAGATACAAAAAGTTGAAGTACCATGAAGTTAGCCTTTAAAATCTGAAATATAAATGGACTTAATGATATATTTTTGTATTTTTGCAGAATGTCTCGGTTGCTGAACAGGAGTGGAGATGCAGCTCGAATGAGGAAGCAGGTAATGTGACTGTTGTTAAACGCTGTCATCTAGTGGACATTGTGTAACATCACCGACAGGTTCAGGTGAAAGTACACAACACAGAGCACACAGTTGGCTGTAGTAGTGACAGTGAGCTCAGAGCGTCAAGCCGCGTTTCAGCAGCCTGCAGGCAGAGGCCAGTGTCAGCCTGCAGTTCTAATGAAGCCTCAGAATATGAAAACCAGTTCCTTATGTGCCATGTGCAGACATCCTGCAGCACTTGTAACAGCTTCTTATCTTTATGTAGGTGTTGACACTTGGCAGGCTGTCACATGAGTCACACTTTATTCTGAGGGGAGCACATTCAGGGAAGCAACAAGAGCACAGGTGTTTAAAAGCTTTTATTTATGTACAGTAAGACAGCTGTGACTCGCCACCACCTGAAATGGCACTTAGCAGTATTTACAAGTATTTATATGACATGAAAATGATTCAAAATGTAACTACAAGCAAAGAAAGACATGTATTCACTCTAAAATTAGAACTATCCAATTTGCGAAGTGCTGGCTCAGAACCTTCAACAAAAAAACAGATGACATCTTAAAAATCTCAAATTCCTTGTGCAGGAAAGGCTTAACATGACAGACTCATTTCAAACTTTTTGTCACAGTCTCAGCTGGATGTCTCCTTTTAGACTGAATCTTCTGTTGTGCATCACTAGCTTTACCTGCTGTGTAACTGTTGAGCTGTTGGTGATTCTACATTCATGCTGCAGACTTCTAAAACAATAATTAACTCTACTATAATGATTTATATATAGTATAGTTAATGCTGTTATGGGAAAAGTTAAAAATCTGTAAAACACTTTTCTTAATATAAGAAACACATATACACTCACCGGCCACTTTATTAGATACACCTGTACAATTGTATGCAATTCAATACAACACATCTTAATATCTGTGTTTATGAAGCTTATGATTGTTTTTGGTGAAATTATCAATCTAGGTTACTATTGAGGTCACAGTTAAAGGTGGTGTTGTACTGGACTACATTATATTCCTAATATTCTGACCCTCTCATGTATGTAGCTGGGGAGGACAAAAATATAGACACCTCAAATGAAGCACTACCCAGGTGTACCTAATAAAGTGGCCTTTGAGTGTGTGTACAAATGAACAATAACAGGTGCACATACAGTCCCTGTGCAGTGAAAGCCAACATCAGATGTGAGAAAAAGGCCTGTTGCTTTCAACACAACATGGTGCTTTTCAGTACAACACAGGAGCAGTTAATTCAGTCAATCTACCTAGTTTTACGTTTGATTCTAGGTTTAAAAACGCTCGAAAATGTAAATAAATACACTGATTAAATTTGTGACATCTTTCAGGTTTTCTAATGATCTTGTGCAATGTACGAAAGCACTGAAAGCTGAAACACGGACACACAGCTGCGTTGAAATGATCACATCCTTTATCAAAGCTTTCAAAAACCTCTTTTCACTATTGTCAGGTCCGCTCGGTGCGACCTGCCTCTTTCTTTATTTCCTCTCCTGCTCCCCCTTTTTGCGGGATCAACGCCTCAGCTGTGTCGCATCGGGTAATTAGTGACTGGTGGGTCGGTGCGCACACCTGAGGCGTATTCCGGTGATTTGTTGGCTTCCTTATTTATACCTCTGGCAGACGCCCCCGATAAATACAGTTGTATGTAATTGAAGCATTTAAATGTCTGTATTTCAAAGGTGTTTTGTCTTTATTACATGTTCAAATTTTGTCATTGATGTCCAGCTCATTCTCACCAGGTTTTAACCTAAAGGTCCACAGAACGTCTGGCCCAACTATGCTAATGTTTAGCACTGTGTAGTGATACTAAATTATTGTGTATTTCTTTGTCTCAGGCTCACACAGAAGAATAATGGCCTCTTCCATGGAAAAGCTGCAGGTATGTAGGTCGAGTCTCGTTGCCCAGGTAAAGTTCTGTTACACACTTACCAAACTAACTTAAAGGAACACACAGTGCTCTTTGGTAAATTTGCATCAAAGAAATGTTTAACTCATCCACTACAATCATGAGGATGCTTAGTTAGCCACATCAACATTTACTATGTCAGGATTTATTTAGCAGTTGTGTTACAACTACCAGGAAGATGGCTGTTGATTTTACTCTTCAGCACACATTTTCAGGAAACAAAAAAAATAATTTGCTTACCAAGTTTAGAGGCGTGTAAGCCAAAGCCTTGATCTCATAGCAGCTACAATGTGGAAGACTTCCTTTGTCTAGAATTTGCTTTTTTCATTTGTTACTTCTGAATTAGTGAACCATCTCTCAGCAAATGGTAGCATGCTATGGCAGCAGTTAATGATACAGCCATGTGTGTGGACTGAGTCTACTTTAGGACTGTCTCCCACCTTCCCCTTTCTGCTCACAACTAGCTGAAATTTTAGATACAGGCCAGACTGTTCAGGTGTCTGGATACTTACACATTCTGTTTTTCTTAAGTCGCTGCTTTCAAACATTCAGTTTGACATAAAACAGTGGATATCACATTAAGACAGAATAATGGATTCCTTGCACTGGTTGGTATAGAAACTCCCAGGGAACGCTGTATAAAACGGTGCCACCTTAGTCACAATGCTAATGGTTCTAGCAGTAGATGTAAAGGTGCTTTTTTCCATAACAATCTTGGTAGTGACCTGCACCAGTTGTAGGCTGTCTTTGTCTGGTCTGGATATGAAGGTAATGTGTAGCTTCTCGTCAGTTCACAAAGTGGTCAGCCAGGATAAAAGGTCCACAAGCTGGAAAAAGCTGCACTGTGGACTTGGGCTGCATGATTAATTGAATGTATTTTCAATTGTGATCCCCCTCATTACTATCTTCACCAGTATATTGACAGACAACTCCAACTCTGTCTAAATGGCAGCTCAACTCTGAGCCAAATGTGAACTCTCTAGTGCATGAACTAATAAAACACAAAGCTGCCCAAAAACATTTAACATCAAAGTGTCAAATTACTTTTGAACCTTTACAATGTGGGCACTATGGGCTAAATCTCACACAGATCGCTCTGTGTTGACCTGCTCAAACTAAAGCTGAGACATGGCACTTTAATACAATATCCATTATTTGACTTCAAACTGAATGTGCTGAGGCACGTATCCTAGAGAAGAACTCGTGTTAAACCATCCAAACACCTTCAGCCTGAACTGTGTGTGCAGCCACTAACTCAGCCCAGGAACACACAGATGACTGGTGTCCTAACTCAGAAGGTAAAGTACTAGTTGAAAACATCTCTTATTAACCAATCTTTGTGTGACATTGAGATCAGTAGTGGCCATATGTTAGAGCTTAAAGTCACTTCATTGCAGAGTTAGTTGTTCAAAAGTGCAAGTTAGCATGTGCTAAGCAGCTGACAGACAGCTACCAATGTCGTCTTCAAGAAACTGGGGCCTGTGTGCTTGATGTGATTCCTTTACCAGCAAATTTTGTCTTTGTCCTAGAGGTTCCGGAAGAACTTCAGTGAGAGCTCATACGTCAGGAACATGGTGGCCGCCATGGGGAAGCCTCGAATGGCATTGACTGACACTCCACGGAAGAACACCTGCACATTAAAGAAAGGTTGCAGGGACTTTAATCCATCCATCAATTTTCCTCCACTTATCCGGGTCACGGGGGCAGCAGTCTAAGCAAAGATGCCCAGACTTCCCTCTTTCCAGACACTTCCTCCAGCTCCTCCGGGGGAATGCCGCGGCGTTCCCAGGCCAGCCGAGAGACATAGTCCCTCCAGCGTGTCCTGGGTCTTCCCCGGGGCCTCCTCCCGGTGGGACATGCCCGGAACACCTCCCTAGGAAGGCGCCCAGGAGGCATCCGAAACAGATGCCTGAGCCACCTCAGCTGGCTCCTCTCGATGTGGAGGAGCAGCGGTTCTACTCTGAGCTCCTCCCGGGTGACCGAGCTCCTCACCCTATCTCTAAGGGTGCGCCTGGCCACCCTGCGGAGAAAACTTATTTTGGCCACCTGTATCCGGGATCTTGCCCTTTCGGTCATGACCCAACTAGAATATTTTTCTTTACTTTAAATTGCAACAAATGTAAAATGTGACTAACGGTCCCAATAGATTTTTTTATTTATTTTTTTTCATGGCAGAGTCCCTGAAGCTTTACAAGGCAGCAGAACTGCTGTTTGTACTTTCATGCAACACTTTACAGCTGTCTCGCTTATTTCTTCTGATCCATTTCCTGATTTGGAATGACTGCTAGATTTTTTTTTTAATGCATTTTCCAATAAATTACACTACTACACAATCATCTGAGGATCAGTTGCTCTCTGATCACAGGCAACAGGAGCTTCGTTTCTGGTACTGCAATTGATGCCCTGGCAGCTGCTGGTGTAACGTGATCTTTACTAAAAGTGGCTCACCTGTCGATCATGTGGTTCAGCACACTTCAGAGGATTCGATAACAGCCAACTCTCATCTAAGTTAACAGCTTTCTAGGGTTTCACTTCTGTACTATAAACCACCTGTTTCTTTTACAGTTGCTGGTTCAGAGTGACTGGGTCATAGTCTTTAAAGTCTCAGATTAAATGGAGGTTATCTGCTGATTCAGGGGTCTGATTCTTTTTTTTTTAAGCTATTTAATTTTAGATCCAATTTGGGATATGATTTATGCTGAAAGGACCTGAGCGTCCTGCATGTCCATTTCTGAGGAAGGGTCGAAGTCAGAACAACCTTTAAATACAATGCCTAGTTAAGCAGCTTGAAATAAAACTTAAGCTAATAAAGGCTTTGAAATGATAAAGTACTGCAGGGTTTTTAACATGAAGTTGAGGGTAGTACTGAAACCAAATCATGGTTGGTATATTTTATCATTGCTGTTTGCTACAGTATTGGTAGATAGTAGGGGTGTGATGAGATCTCATGCTGAGATTAAAATGTAAATATTAAACAAGGGAAAAGCTGTCTCGAAATACCAGAGCAGCAGCCATTATGACGAAGTATGAGGCAAAGTCAAATAGGCAAAGTGACGTGCGTTCACATTATTCCAGCAAAAACGCAACTCACTGCTGTGTTTTCACTAGTGATGGGCAGATGAAGCTTCATGAAGCATTGAAGCCTTTCATCCAATTGGTTCACTCCAGCGCAAAGCTTCTTGAAGCTTCATTTGCTCTAGTAGGACATCTACTGGATGCAACAATATCAGTTGGCATGAATTTGAAGTGTGTGGCATTTTGCAGAAAGCCTGTGAATAAAACTGTCAGCAAAATAAAGAAGTATGCAAAACATGTATATTGTAGTGATGGCAGTATACTGTGTATATATATATA